TGGCTCCTGACATGTTGGAGGCTCTTTAGGCTCATGTGTTCTCCAATCCCCCAGCGCAAGAGCAGGAATGATATTGAGGGCACAGGATCTTGGAAAAATCACCAAATCACCACAGTTCTCTGGATTCCCACCTTTAAAATAAACTGTTTGCCCAGCCTAGGAATGCCATGAGGACAAAGGGCATTAAAACACACACACACACACACACACACACACACACACACACACACAAATCACTTTAAGAAGCTATTTTTGGTAAAGGACTATTGAGCCTTTTTTTTTTTTTTTTTTTTTTTTTTTGAGACAGGGTCTCCCTCTGTCTCCCAGGCTAGAGTGCACTGGTGTGATCACAGCTCACTGTGACCTCTGCCTCTTGGGCTCAACTGACCCTCCCACCTCAACCTCCCAAGTAGCTGGGACTACTACAGGTACTTACCACTATGCCAACCTATTTTTTTTGTAAAAATGGGGTCTCACTGTGTTGCCCAGGCTGGTCTCAACTTCTGGGCTCAAGCAATCTGCCCGCCTACCTCGGCATCCCAAGGTTACAGGCATGAACCCCCGTGCCTGACCTGATCTCTTAAGAGGATCTCTTCTCTGCAATAAACTTTCAGCGGCTCCCTGGCAGTCACAGAAGGAAGACAACACTCCTAAACCAGGGTTGTCCTGAATCAGTGCTGAAGGGTGAAGCCTGTGGCTGCCAGAGCAGGACCACCTGGGTTTGAATTCTAGCTCTGTGAGTTACTAGCTGTGTAAACCACAGCAAGTGGCTTCTCCTCTCTATTCTATGTGTAAAATGGGGATTTTATCAGTACCTACCCACAGGATGGTTGAGCGTGGAAACATCTAGAACTGCACCTGGACATAGCTGGTGCTTTGCAGGAGCTGTTCTTAGAAACCCAAATTGGTCTTTCCCAACTCAAGGCCTTTCCACATGCTGTATCCTCTGTCCAGATAGCTTGTCCCATCTCTTTAGTTAGTGTACCTCCGCTCTTCCTACAATCTCAGCTTACCAGGGACTTTCTTCTTCTTTTTGTTTTTTGAGACGGAGTTTCACTCTGTCGCCTAGGCTGGAATGCAGTGGCATGATCTCAGCTACTGCAACCTCTGCCTCCTGGGTTCAAGCAATTCTCTTGCCTCAGCCTCCCAAGCAGCTGGGATTATAGGTGCATGCCATCACGCCTGGCTGATTTTTGTGTTTTTAGGAGAGACGAGGTTTTGCCACGTTGGCCCGGCTGGTCTCGAACTCCTGACCTCAGGCGATCCACCTGCCTTGGCCTCCCAAAGTGTTGGGATTACAGGTGTAAACTACTGCACCCGGCCAGGACTTTCTTATAGAAGCCTCCCTGATACCCTCAGTCCCCTGAGTCTTGATCAATCCCCTGAGTCTATGTCTTAAATATATTCTTTTCTTCATGGTGTTTAGCACAGTTTTACATTTATTTGCATTAATCTGCAATAAATAATAATGATCTTCCTACTAGACTAAACTCCGCAAGGGTTTGGACTGAAATCTGTTTTTCCAAATTCTTATGATGAAGTCCTAACCCCAAATACCCCAGTTCCTCCCAGTACCTCAGATTGTGACTGTCTTTGGAGACAAGGTTTTTAAAGAGGTAATTAAGTTAAAGTGAAGTTATGAGGGCAGGCCCTAATCCAATCTGACATGATAAGCGTCCTTAGAAAAAGAGGTATTTAGTCCCCAGACATACAGGCACAGAAGAAAGACCACGTGAAGACAAAGGGAGAAGACAGTCATCTACAAACCAAGTAGACATCCTCAGAATGAAACCAATCCTGCAAACCCCTGATCCTAGACCTCCAGCCTCCAGAACAGTGAGGACAGTAATTTCTGTTGTTTAAATGACCCGGTCTGTTGTACTTGGTTATGGCAGCCCCAGAAAATTCACATAGGTAGGGACTAGGATGGCTCTGGTGTATCACTGTAGTCTCAGAGCCCAGGACTGAGTAGGTGCTCAATGAATTTTCCCTGGAGGGTGATGGAGGTGTTGGGGGCAGGGTCAGCAGCACTGGGATTGCTTCAGTTTCCATCTGCGGCTCTTCCTCCAGGGTTGCTCCCAGAGCCACCCTTTCCTGTTTGCAGGCCTGGGCCGTGGCTTCAGGTCCTTAAGCTCCTCCTGGATAAGACATTGTGATGGTTAATGTTAGGTGTCAATTTAACTGGGTTAAGACTCCGCAGATAGCTGTGAACATTACTTCTGTGTGTTTCTGGGAGGTGTTTCCAGGTGATATTAGAGATTGAGTCAGAGACTAAGAAGATATGCCCTCAGCCCCGTGGGCAGCCATCATCTAATCCATTAGCACATGAAGAGGAGAAAAAGGAGAAAAGACAGATTTGCGCCTTCATTTCGGGCTGGAACACCTGCATTTTCTTGTCCTCAGATGGTGAAGCTCCTGGTTCTTGAGCCTTTGCACTCAGACAGGAGTTACACCATTGGCTTTCCTGGTTCTCAGGCCTTTGGACTCAAATGGAATCATATCATGGGCTTTTCTGGGTCTCCAGCATGCAGATGGCAGATTGTGGAACTTCTCGGCCTCCAAAATCAAGTGAGCCAATTCCCATCGTAAATCCCCTCTCCTATGTCTGTATATGTCCTCTTGCTTCTCTTCCTCTGGAGAATGCTAACTAATACAGACATAACACAGCAGACTTTGGGGATAATGTGTGAGTATGTGGGGGAAAAACTAGACATGAAGCAGTATGCGGTTTCTTCAAAATAACTTTTTCATTAAAATAGTTGTATATGCTTAGGACAAAAACTTGGAAAATACAGAAATGAAGTGGGAAAAGGAAGAAAAATTACCATCCATTATTTTCTCTCCCTCCCTCCTCAGTCTCCAGGAGAAGAAAATTACAATTAACTACAGTTTTCTCTTTATTTTTCAGAGTTGGGATTCTCTAGTATGCACATATTTTCATTATGATTTATAAAAATAATATAGCTTACACTTTTCCCAAGACATACTAAACTGCTCTTAAGTATTTTAATGGCCACATAAAATGTTATTGAGTTAATCTATTACAATTTTATTAATCATCTTGTTGTTTGGATGTTAATTTTTTTCTTTTGTTTTTTAAAGAATGCTGAATAATTATCTTAGTTTGCCACACATTTTCTGCATTTTGATTTTTTTCTTTTGTGGTGACTCCCAAAGGTAGAATTTTTTAGCTAAAGGATATTGCTAATTTTATGGTCCTGCATACTTTTACCAAATGGTCACATACTAAGGATGAAGCCTTTACATTCCCACTGGCAGAGAATGATACCACAAGTGCCCCAAGGTTACGGTAACCTGTCCTATGGGGGGAAATCTGGAAGCTCTAGTAAGTGAGACCAGTGGGCAAGTGGGCAGATGCTGAGCCTGCCCCCCCAGACAGAGGGAGAAGTGAAGCCACTGAGCATTTGCTAGGCAGGGCAGCATGTCTGTGGTCGGGGCCAGAGATGTTCTTTTGCCCTTTCCAGCATTGCCTAGTGATCCTGGGGATGCCCGTTTGGAAGCTGCAGGCCTTTAACATCTTCAGGGTTGAAGAGATGATGCCCCCGTGGGGGCTGACCAGTGATCCATTAGTTCCAGGTGGAGCTTTCAGAGGTCTATGGGGCCTTCCTGTGGCTGCATCTCATTTCCCCCACTCCTGACTTCGCAATTTACTCCTTTGGATCTTTCCAGAAACCGTCTTTGGCAGTTCTGAAACAAAGGCCACCTGGCGACCAAACACAAAACAAACAAAACAAAAAACACTTGGAAATCATCATTTCTCAAAAAGATTTTTGTTTTGAAAAAGCTATTACTGTCTGTCTGTCCTTGGAAAGCATCCTTGATTCACGGTTTCTCCCCAGATGGCCAGGAGCAAAACAGCTGGAGCCTGGAGCACAGGATTGTTTGGACAGAATATAAGCACCACCCCTTATATCTGATTTATGGGTTAGGGATCAGGCTGTTCTTAGAACCAGAACAAAACGTTCTTTGGGTAGAACCCAAGTGAAGAAACACAGAAAAAAACTGAAGCAGCAGCCAAGGTTACCTCTCCAAATCCCCAGTGCCTGGCACAGTGCCTGGCCCTAAATGGGAGCCCAGGCAGAGTGTGCCCATCTGATTCCCAGCTTACCAGAAACCCAATGTTTACCTTCCTGGGGTATTTGTATGGAGCAGTCACCCTTTTCACATGCTCCTGGAGTTCCCGTGTCAGTGCAACTGGGTCATGAGAGGAGTAGGCTGGAGTTAGGACTACAAATGCCTTTACCACCTGCAGGAAAACAAAATACCCAGAAAAGATCAGGCCTTGTATAACAACTCTTTTCTCCTTAAGTGAGACGTGAATAAATGCCCACATTTACCTTTGGATCATCATTGTTCTACCAGTTTTTTGGGCACAGCCAGTGACACAAACAACAATTGTTCTGTTGCAGGCCTTTCCAGGTGCAACTATTAGGAGCATTAACCTTTGTGGGATGATCTCAAACTCCTACCTATTTCTCTTTTTTCTTTTTCTTTCTTTCTTTTTTTTTTTTTTTGAGACAGATTCTGGTTCTGTTGCCGGGCACCAGGCTGGAGTGCAGTGCCTCGATCTCAGCTCACTGCAACTTCCGCCTCCTGGATGCAAACAATTCTCCTGCCTCAGCCTCCTGAGTAGCTGGGACTACAGGCACGTGCCATCATACCCGGCTAATTTTTGTATTTTTTTTAGTAGAGATAGGGTTTCACCATGTTGGCCAGGATGGTCTCAATCTCTTGACCTCGTGATCCACCCGCCTCGGCCTCCCAAAGTGCTGAGATTACAGGCTTGAGCCACCGCGCCCGGCCAAAGACTTTTTTTTTAAAGTGAGTTTAATTATAGTGCAAATAGTATGTGGATAGGGCTACATGCATGAGAGCAGGGCGAAAGTAAAGGTGGAGAATATGAGTTCGATTTCTGCAAAAACTTTAGCACAATGCCTGGCATAGAATATATTTTCCACAAAGTGATGGTGATAGTGCTCTGGACCAAACTGAGGGTCAGGCTGCTATTTCTCATGACCCAACAGCGAGATGCAGATGAACTGGGGAGGAAGAGAGTTTTTATTTCTGCAACTAGTTACAGAGAGAAGGCCTGGAAATTATCACCACACCAACTCAAAATCACAAAGTTTTCCAGAGCTAATATACTTTCTAAGCTACATGGCTATGTGTAAGTGTGTATTCACTTAAATACATAAGTGATTAATTTCTTTTAATCTATAGCTGAGGTCTGAGTCCTGAAGACCTTATTCTGGAGCCTCAGTAAATTTACTTAGTGGGCCCAAGTGCTGGGGTGATTACTCTTATCTTGTCTCCTGCTAAATCATAGAGGTTTGGAGAGTTCCTTCAGATTCCCAAATAAACTTGTTTGTGGAAGCCTGAGGAGTTTCTTCAGACCCCCAATAAAACTTAACCATAAATGGGTCCTGCTAAGAATTCCTTTGTTATTTTGTCATGCTTTAAGGTTAAGGAAAGGCCTAGGAAAAATTCTTTGTGGGCTTTGGTTACATTTCAGCCTTTGTATAAGGGCACTGGCTTTTTTAGCTTTTAATATTTAACTTAGCCACTCAGTCAGTACTGAAGCAATTGTTATGGAGGTCTACGTTAGTGAGACCTGGCCTGTCACAGTAGCAGTGGTTGGTGCTGCTGTTATGATCAGTGATTCTGGGGCTGGGGGTGCTGGAGGAAAAGTGTGGGCTATGTGGATGGTTGTGATTTCCTCTGGTACAGCTGCAGCTGAGAGTGTTGGCTTTTTCCTGCTGAAGCTGAGCTGGGCAGAGGTGACTGCAGGAAGATTGGCTGGGGAGCCAGGTGTATCAGTGGGAGGCTAAGGGAAATGGGAATTGGGTTTCACTGTCTGGGGCTTGTACTGATTGAAATGTGAACCGAGGCCCTGGATGGGGAGCTATGACTATAGCTGGAGAAGAACAGACTGCCCTGGCTCAGGGGGAAGGGTAGAGAGCCTAGAGGCTACTCAGCCATGTAACCAGAGTGACACAATGGTGCAGGTGCCAGTTCCTCCAGGTGTCATTTTCATCTAAGCCCCTGGATTTCAGGAAACAGAGAGATGTAGGAGA